TGGGCCCTGCGACGGCCTATGCGGCTTCCGGATTCATCTAGGCACGAGAGGGGACTGCCCGCTGCCTTGCGAGGAGTGGGGGTGAAACCTGAGGTGTGGTGTGCTTGGTTAGAGGGGGTTATGCGAAGGGTCCTGTCACGGTCTCTATCCGGTATGTCGTGGTGGCATGTCGGCGCACGGAAACGTATCGTGGGGCTGTGTCTTGTGGGTACAGTTGTACACCTCTGATCAGAGTAAAACTATTCGAATAGCCGTGCCCGCGGTTATGGGCGGTCAACCAGATTCACCGTGATTATTCTCAGCCAAGTCTAGTCTAATGGAATTGAATAGCCTAGGTGGATGGTTGGGCCTGTTGCAACGTGGGGTAGCGTTGGACAGTGGGTGGTTAATATTGATTTATTATTACAACTGTTTTACTGCTTTCAACTACTGTTTATAAATGCTCGCTCTATGCAAACGAACCTCTATAGCTATCCGTAGTTAATTCCGTGCATCATACCTCTATTCCGGTATGACTTGCTGAGTACAGTGGGTAGTACTCAGTCTTGCTCTATTTTCCCCAAACCTCAGAGTTTGAGTATGCATCAGATGGTGGCTTCTCCGAGGAGTAGGTTTCGTCCGTGCCGTCGAGGATGCCTGTGGAGTGGTGTTCCCGCTGCAGTCCAAGTCAAGGCTTAGCTCCAGTTATCTTTTAATTTTCCGCTGCATTTATGTAAGATTTTATGATGTTTGTAAGACGTGGATCTGTTTGTCAACTTTGTCGTTTGTGTACCCGGCCGGTCCTGGACGGGGGTTTTAATGCACATTCTGCTTGGAATCCTATTCGGGAATTTCTGGGCGTGACACTCGGCAATCAGGGGTGGCTTCTCGAAGCACCAGGAGGGCATCGGAAGGAGGGTATTAGCTAAGTGTCACATCCTGATTTTTGTTTCAGGATTTATAAATTATTTAATAAATTATTATTAGAATTTATATTAAATGTTCATTAATTTACAAGTGAAGTTAAATGTGGGAAATAAAATTTTCTTAATATAAAGCATGGATGGATTTAATTTTTATTAAATTCTCCATGATTAATTATACTCTCTGGAATTTTCTCGGATTTTTCGGAGCTCAATTCCTAAATGATACAAAGAACAATTCAGTAATTATTTGATCAATAATGATCTAATTATAATTGTTAAGTGCTTTTCTTGTTTAAAATCCTTAAATTATAAATTGTTGTTTAAAAGAAATTAGCAGAAATGATTTTAAAAGCTTAAAAGAGAAGATCTAATTTTAATTTGCTAAATCTCAATATAAAATTGGGCTAGATAAAATTTTATTAAATATTTTGCTTGTTCCTCTATTTTCTAGAATTTTCTGAATTGTTTGAGCAAGGGAAGTATTTTTTTAATAATTGAAACAACATTTCACCATTTATTTTAATTAAAAAGTTCCAAAACCCCTCCTTTTAAGTTGTTGGGCCGTTTTTGGCCCAACTCTCTCTCTCTCTCTCTCCCGCCCGCGGCCGAGCCGGCCCAGCCGACTCAGCCGGCCCAGCCAAGCCGCCAGCCGCCCCCTCCTCCTCTAGCCACCGACATGTGGGGCCCACATGTCGGGGTCATCCCCTACCTCCGGCCGACTCAGGCCGAGCCCAAGCCGGCCGCGCCGCGCCACCTCCCGTCTCCGATTCCGCCGCCCTCGCTCGCATTTGAGTCCGAGTGTTTGAGGGATTTTGATCCCCTCGTCCTCCTCTATCTTTACCCCCAAAAATCGGAGCTAATCGTTGAGTATTTTATCCGAATCGAACTCGTTTTTGAGTTTATCTCCAAAACCGAGTTTTTGATTTCCCGATCGATTTCTTGCGGGAGGAGTCCGATCTCTTCAATCCAAGGCTATAAATAGGACCCCCTAGTCCTCCTCTTTTGTTTGCCCCCTTTCCCGAGCTCTCTAGTGCCCCGTGGAGTCACCGCCGCGCCGCCCTAGTCGCCGTCGTCGCCGGTCGCCGCTCAGCCGTGCCGCGCCGCCGCTTGCGTCGTCGCCGCCGCCTTTTCTCACCGCCGTTAGGTGCGCGTGAGGGAGAGCTAGCTCGTCCGCCCCCTCTCCGCTGTCGTCGGTCGCCGTGAAGCCGCCGCCACCGTCGACTGAACCACCGCGCCGCATCCTCTCGTCGCCGGCCACCATCGGTCGTCGTTGGGCGCATTGGTGAGTACCGTTGCGTTCGTCTTGTTGCCCTCTACGCGTTGGTGCCCTCTTTTCGCCCGGCCAAGGTCCGTAGCGCCGGTGGTCGTGCCGCCCGAGCCAAGGCCACCATGGATGACGTCAGCATGACGTCATAACCTTTCCTTTTTAGTTTTTTTTATAGATGAAATAGATTAGATCTTCAGAAAAACATATCTAAATAACCGTAGATCCGTTTCAGGTGGTTCAAGTTGCTAAATTTTTCTAAAATCAAGATCTTCATGTTAAAAATATTGACGTGTACTGTTTATGCTTGTTTTTGTACTGTTTTGTTAATTTTTGTTCTTTCGCTTTATTTTCCGACGTTCCGGAGGAGAGCGTTTTCGTTGAGGAAGGTTCGGAAGTGTTTGCGGAAGCCCAAGGCAAGTCACACAGATCCCAAATAACCCTTTGAGCATGTTGAACCCGTTTAAAGCTATTATTTTATTTCAACTATGCATTATTTTTGAATGTCATCGGGTGGTGAACCTTTCCCCGTTAATTAATGGCCGAAGATGATCTTATTTTCCAATGGGTTATAATTTGATTAGCATGAACCTTATATATTGGATTGGTTCAGCTAAATGCTATATGTAAGTTTGCTTAGCTATGCTTAGAAACATTAGCTAACTAAAGGGGTTAATTATAAACTATATTATATTATATTATTATTATGGTTATATTTAATGGTCGCTCACGATGGTTAATCGTGTGATGTTAATTAATTGATAATTATAACCTGGCTAAGGTGGGTTGTGAGCATATGGTTTTGATGGTTGTGCTCATGACAATTAAGGACCGGTTCGCGAGCTACTGTTGTGAAACATTTACCGTGCCAACCACAAGGCAGCATGGGCAACGGCTTTACCTTTTGTATAGCATGGTTCATTATAGTGTGCCAGACTGTGAAGTGGCGAGAAGTCCGTGGGGGTCGCTGGGGAGTCCATTGCCTCTGGTTTTGAGGGGGAGATTATGATCCAGGAACGGTGCACTGTTTTGAGTTGTGTTGTGCAAAGGGTATTGTCACGATTTCCCCCTTTGCAATGCCGTGGTGGTATTTCCGGGCATGGCAACATGTGTGGAATCGTGTCTTGTGGGTACAGTGGTACACCTCTGGCCAGAGTAAAACTATTCGAATAGCCGTGCCCGCGGTTATGGGCGAGTTGAGCAATGTTTTTCGTGATTAGTTTCACACTACTCATCAATGTTAATAATGTGAGAATTAATTTGACTCCTGGTTTGGAATGGATAATTCCTAGTTTGGAGGTTTGATCTGTACGACCGGGGTTGGTTGTTCAGGTTTGGTTGGGCCTGAGCAGCATGGGTGTGCTGTTCAGTGTTGATTAAAATTGATGATTAATTACTCTATTGTTTTACTACTCTTAAATCTTTGCTAAATGCTGCTTTTGCAAATGAGCCTATATTATGCCATCCTTTGGAATCCTTGTGCACTTGCATATTTGCTGTGTGGCTTGTTGAGTATGTCATATGCTCATTCTTGCAATAATCATCAAACCTCAGTTGAAGATAAAGGATCCAGAAGGAAAAGACGTTTGGCTTATACCCCAGTTGAGCTGCCTGTGGGAGTGGAGCTGAAGCCATCGCTAGACCGTTAATTCCTCTGCTGTTTTTCTTTTCTTTGTAAGTATGTAACGTTATTATTAAGATGGATTTGTATATTAAATTGTCAGTTTGTGTACCTCGGCTGATTCCTGGACGAGGATTTTATGCACAAATTAGTTCGGAAATTACTAGTGAATTTCCGGGCATGACACTAAGTAATCATATAAGTAGGATGTATGTATACTAGAAGTATAGGAATAGGATCTTTCTATTTTCCTTTCCACTTAGCTTAGATAGTTATGAATAAGAGTATAAATACTTTTTCTTAGTGTCACTCTACCCTTTGAATGATATTAACCCCTGCCTAGACTTTGGTTATTACAAGTAATATATAATTATTAGTGTGGTTCTCTCTATTATAATCTTCCCACGGGATTACTCAAATATGATTCCCTTGGAATACTCTTGGGTGAAAAGCTACAATGGTATTTCCATGCACTTGCGGATGAACTCTGTAACCATAATATACCAGAAGTATTTCTCAACCATTGCTAGGAATTATATTTCGAGTAATATACCAGAAGCATTTCTGGCGCCGTTGCCGTGGAAGATTCATAAAAAAGATTACTATAACTAATACTTTATATTTACCTCTGTATAATCACTGTCCTTTGTAGGCTAACCTTGGTTGTTTTCACTTCTATTGTGGAAATAGGGTAGTGCATGACTGGTTTTAACTTGCCGGAAAATTTCAAGGAAAATCCAGAAGTTTTCTTTCAGAGCTTCAAGCCGCGAGTCGTTGCTCCGCAGAAAACTCTTCCGATAGAGAAACCAGCCATTCCCACGCCACCAACCTTCAAGACTATGGCTGACAAGACCCTCCGCGAATTCACTGCTCCCTCTGCTGACAACGTGGCCACTAGGCCACAAATCAATATGGGAGACGTGGATTTCGATCTGAAGTCCAGCCTCATCACGATGGTGCAGGCTAGCCCGTTATGCGGCAAGCCAAACGAGGATGCCAATGCACACCTGCAATAGTTCCTCGAGATCTGCAACATGTACACGATGAAGGGCATCAGTTCTGATGCCGAAAGGCTCCGACAGTTCCCATTTTCCCTCTTGGCCTTGGAAAAGCGAAACAGTGGTTTTATGCCAACCGCGCTATGATCAACAATTGGGATAAATGTTCAACGGCATTCTTATCGAAGTTTTTCCCGATGGGCGAAACCAACGCCCTTCGCGGAAGAATTTCAAGTTTCCAGCAGACGAGAGATCAGTCTATTTCTGAGGCATGGGAACGACTACAGGAGTACATGGCTGCCTGTCCTCATCATGGGATGGACGACTGGCTGATCCTGCAGAACTTCTACAATGGACTCACTCCCATGTCCCGTGATCATCTGGACACGGCAAGTGGAGGAGCCTTCTTTTCCAAGACGGTCAGAGGAGCAATCAATCTCATAGAAAAGATAGTCTCCAACATGAGCTGGAGCGAGGAAGGAGTCCAGACCCGTCAGCGTGGCATGCACACCGTAAAGGAAACGGAAATGCTCGTTGCGAAGCTGGACCTCCTCATGAAGCGATTGGACGACCACGAGAAGAGGCCTCAAGGCATCGTCAAGGCCATGGACTCACACTTTATGTGTGAAATCTGCGGCAAAATGGGTCATTCTGGGAATGACTGCCCAGAAACCCGTGAAGAGGCGATGTACATGGGCAACAACAACAACAATGGGTTCCGTCCACAAGGAGGTCAGGGGTGGAACCAGCCACGCCTATATTTCCAAGGAGGCAAAATAATGGTAACTATTTTAACCAACCTTCCTTGAAGGATCTTGTTTTTGCCAAGCCAAAACCACAGATGCTCTTAGCTAAAAGCTGGCTACTAATGACAAGACTTTGGAAAACATAAATTTCAAATTAGATGGCTTTGCTTCCGTTTTCCGAAACCAGCTTAGTTTTAATAAAATGATTGAAACCCAGCTGGCACAATTAGTTGTTCTAGTACCTGCTAATGAATCTGGGAGGATTCTGGGGCAACCCGAACCCTCTGTTGAGAATGTTAAGGCGATCACGACGAGGGGTGGTAAGTCCACTTGCGATCCACCGTATCCTAACGTTGTAGGAACAGGCAACGCTCTGGAAGCACCATCTAGCAACACGGCTGTCGAAGAAGTTTGGCCAGAAAGGACCGGGCCGCAGGAATGTTGTGACATGAGGCTGCTGCCATTCCCCCAAAGGTATAAGAAGCCATCGGTGGATGAACAATTTGCTCGGTTTGTTGAGGTAATCCAGAAGATCCACATCAACGTGCCATTATTGGACGCAATGCAAGTGCCCACCTACGCACGTTATCTAAAGGACATCCTTGCAACAAGAGGCCACTACCGACAACCAAGTTGGTCAAACTGACAGAGGAATGCAGCAATGTTATACTCCACAAACTCCTAGAAAAGAAGAAGGATCCGGGGTGTCCCACGATCACCTGCTCAATCGGGACACAAAAATTCAACCAAGCACTCTCCGACCTTGGTGCAAGTGTGAGCGTCATGCCCAAGGACGTCTTCGATAAACTCAACATCACGGTGTTGACACCAACACCGATGCGCATGCAACTGGCTAATTCTTCGGTCTGTTACCTAGCTAGGATAGCGGAAGGCGTACCGGATAAGATACGGGATTTCTTCATCTCGGTCGACTTCGTGGTGTTGGATATGGATTCGGAGAAGAAAACGTCACTCATTTTGGGGCGACCATTCCTTAGCACCAGGGACGCCAACATTGATGTGGGGACGGATAAAAGTTCGAGTTTCAGCCAAGGATGGAACAATGCTCCATGGTGAGGATCAAATATGGACCAAACACGCAAAATATTCAAGTGGCCGAAGTGGAGCCACCCAAAATGGATAGCCTGGGGAAGTTCATGCGGAACTTCCTGGGAGAGGGAGCACCCGTTCCTAGGATCCGTTATTGGAAGACGCCGGCACAGTCTAAAACACCAGCCAAGAAACCAGAGGAGACGGCTCCAGAGAAGCCGCCGTCCACACCAAAACCAAAGAAGGTGTGGCAAGTGTAGCAAAAGATGCTCGCTCCATGACATCCGTAGACGGTTGGAAAATTAGCAATCTAAACGAAAGGAGAAACGGTCTTGCTCGTCAGATCCAAAATGACGCGGCCCTCACCAGCAGGTAAATTGGTATGTACCTACATATTTATTTCTATCAATTTGGATTCTTTATCAATGCATGTTTGAGTTTCCAAAAAACTACATTTAGATTTGAGTTTTGAGGAAATTACTTCAAATGATTTTTTCAGAGCAAAACAAAATAAAATTTTCAACAAAAATTTGCTATGCCACGACCATACTGGCCATTGGGTTCCAACGGTCGAAAGTGGGGCCAGTTGGGCCCACCAGGGGTTCGGTTGAACCGGCCAGGGCAACGGTCGGGTGCCTCTTTCTTTGAGGCAACAACTAGTGGGTCCCAACGGTCGGTTATGACCGTTGTGGGCAGCCTATTTAAGCCAACTGGCCAGTTGAGGAAAATCCATCCCATTTCAACTCATTTTCATCTCCTCTCCGAACTTTGCTCTCAAAATTCATTCACGCTTTGCAAGTTTACCTCAAATTTAAGCCATTAGTTGCATTCACAAGTTTCCTTAGTGAAGCTAACCGGTGGGTAAATATCTCGCTATTCTAACCCCCGCCCGAGTTAGTCCATTCTTATTCATTTGTGCAGAATGAAGAGACGATTGTCCCGCTAGTTCAATATGGGAGCCGGCTCTCGATCAAGTCATCATGACGAGTCTAGCACTCGCTCATCCACCGATGCCTCAATGGAGGATGCCGACATTCCACATCTCTTGAACGACGCCGACCTCGACCTTGTCGGTGACTGGGAAAGGCAAGCCTACTCCATGCTGAAAGACCGGGTGTTTGCTCACACGCGGGCATATGATCCGGAGCTGCTGAAAAAAAATAGGTATGGATACTGATTTTCGTGCTATTTGAAAAGCTGTTGGATGGCAGAGATTTGCTGTAGTAGATGAGCCTGGTTCTCGTTTGCTTACTTTGCAATTCCTGTGCACCTTGAAAGAAATAGAAGATGGAATTTTCTTTTGCTTTTTTCCATAAAGAATACACACTTACATGGAAAGGATTAAGTACACTTCTTTGTTTTCACGATTCCTGTAAAATCAATCTTAAGAATGGAATTTCTGGGTTCGAGAAAAACAGATTTTGGGAAGACATTTCTGGTGCTCCAATTTGCAAGAAACCTAGGACGAATGACATCCATAATCCTACACTTAGGCTTATGCACAAATGGATTGCTATGACTTTGTTTCCTAGAGGTGATCTTAGACCTATAAGAGAGGATGAATTGATTATCATGTTTGCCATGGTTAGGAAGATTAAAGTTGCTCTTGTAAAATATATGATAAGTCAATGGTTAGAGAGTATAAGATTTACTGCTCCTGTTGAGTGCACTTCTCTGGTTACTCACATAGCAAGAGGACTTAGGGTTATTGTTAATGATCAAATTGCTTATATTTTAACCCCTCGTTCCTATGTTGATGAGAATTATCTAGTGTAAGGTCATATTCTTAAGCATATAGTAGATGGATCTTTCATATTCTTTTTCCTCAGTTGTATGAATGAAATCCTGTTACCTAATGCGGGATATCATTTGTACAACTGTCATGAGCTAACCATTCCCCTATAAACCATAGAAGAATCTCGTGTAGGTGGACCATACAGGGAGACATGCAACATGGCAAGAATGGAACGCGAAGGTTCAACATCCTCAACACCCGTGCAGATGTATGTGGCCGGTTGGGAGCCATCTGGGGATGCGCCCAGATGGACCCAAGCTCCAGGCCATTGCATTGGAGGCTCGGGCTGGGAAAGTGCCAGTGAGAGCCGACGGCGGGCGTATCATGACATACAATGGGGTGGGTTGAACACTCAATCCCCCGGATCAAGCAGTATGCCTCCATCTCCCGCTGAATGGCGCTCAAGTTCCTCTCGTTGGAACTTGGGTGAATCACCAGGAGAATGGATACCCTTGATATGCAAATGGGAGAGATCAAATACAACCTCGAGGAACACATAGCACAGACGCAAGAATAGCAGCAAAATACTAATGCTCAGTTCACCAACATCAACAACCTGATGCAGCAACAGCACGATGATCTTCAAGCTTACTTCCGCTTTCACGGATTCAATCCTTATCAAGGACTCTGAGTGAAAGCCAAGCTTGGGGGAGACGTCTCTCGCCCCACTGAGGTAACTTGTATCATTACATATTTCCCTTTCCATATGCATGTTTATTTTTCCAATTGCATCCTATAAACTAAAAACATCATAAAATTTTGAAAATAGAAAAATACCGAAATGATAAGTTAGATTTTATTATCCTAGGTAAGACAACTTAGTTCTCTTTGTTGAAATAACGAATAGTTGCTCTGTTTTTTATCTCTCATATATGGGTTCATGGTTAAGTACTCTCTCAAAAATTGAATAAGAGTAGCCAACAATTATCCGGGAACCTGAGGGAAGTGAGCTGCACTTGCTAATCTGAGTTTAAGTTGCTGTGAGATATGAGATAGTAATAAGTTGCTATAATCCTAGTCTGAGTTTGACTTGACTTACGGATGTTTTATTTTCAAAAATGATAAACTTTGGAAGTTCCTCACTTGATATAAATTCCTACCAAAGCCAAAAATATTCATATTGATTATGCCATATACATTTTGGTTATTTGCAATTTCATTGAACTTTGTCAAGTCCTTGTGACTTGTGTTGATACTTTCCATGCTCTATAATCAAGATCAAACATCCACATATATGCACATGCTAAACTTCTGCACTGGAACCTAGCAGATGTCCATTCCATCTCCATACCACCATCAAAATAAATTCTCCATGCTTATATGTGCTTTCTTCTCCTAGAAAAGAAAATCATTTATGAAAAAAAAGAGAGAAAAGGAGGGAAAGTCATGGTTATAAAAATAATAAAGTTATGCTCTATCAATTTTGAACATGATGTTGAAAAAAAAAGAAAATAATGTGTAGCCAAACCCTCTCCTTATTTATAAAGGAAGGATTTTGGAGAAGGAAGTAAGCACAAAGGAGAAGCACAAAGTCATGGTTATAAGGAAGTATGTTTAGTTATCTATTTTAGTCTAAGTTTTTGACTTAGTAATAAATGTGAATGCAAGTATGCCATGTTTGATTGCTACCAAGCTCCATATATCAACCGTAGAATAGGAATAAAAAAGGCAAATTGCTGAGGAATTTATATTCATATACTTGGAGAGATCGAGTGAATCATTTGAGGA